TTTAATTAAAAAATGAAAATCTGGCTTTCTTTTTTGAAAATCAGATAGTGATACCCACAGTCATATAAAAATAAGATAACTGCCCTTGGACCATGTAATCACACAGCAAGAAGGTGCCATCTGTGAACCAGAAAGCAGGCCCTCACCAGACTCCAATTCTCCTAGAACCTTGATCTTAGATTCTCCTGTCTCCAGAACTATGAGAAATAAATTTATGTTCTTTACAAGCCTTCTCACTTAAAAAAAAGAAAGGGGAAGGGTTATCGGCAAGATGGCGGACGAATAACACCGCTAGACAGAGGTTTCTGCAGAAAAGACAGATTCTAGCAGAAATTAGAAGAAAGAAGCAAGAAGGCGAGCATACAGTGGACAAGGGCCGGAATGAGGGTACCTCGAGCCCCCGGGAGACTCCCACGCTCGAGGAGCTGCGCAGAGAACTGGAGGCTGGAGACCACGGACGGCACCCCGCCAGACCAGCGGGCACAGGGTAGGTGGATTTGTCCACTCTGTTTATCCCCTCCCCTGCCATTCGGGGACCTGCTGTTGCTCCAGCAGGTGAAAATCTGCGGACACAGCCCAGAGACCTCCCCCCTCCAACGGTGAGCCTGTGCCAGACGTAGCACCAGGTTCCCAACTTCCTCCGGGCACCTCCGTGTGCACAGAACCCGAGTCCGCGCGCAGTCGCATAATTTGCCTCCTCCACCTCCGCCGACCACCCGCGACTGCCAAGAGGCCAATACAAGCACCAGCCGGAGGCACCTCCCAGGGAACGGGGACCTTTCCTTCTTGGGACGCCTACACCTGAATCCAGGGGAAACTCAGGACTGTGAGCTCACCTACCTGGCCGGCTCCTCCAGGTGCTTACTGGACACGGTGTTCCAGAGAACCAGTGGACTGACTCAAGTGAGAGACATACACCCAGCTTGGACTGCCCTGGTGCGTGAATTTGGACCGGAAATCCCTCTCCCTGGGTGGAATACGTCAGTTTGAACGTCTGGACAGAGGTCGGACCTGCAGACCAGATCCCCTGCGCACCGAAGGCTAGCATTTGCCCGGGGCACAGAAGGGTTTATACATGAAAGCCTACTGAGCGACTTGTTCTCCAAGCGATTGGAGGTCTAACACCTCCTCCCAAAGGCCTGTCGCTCCCAACCTGCGTGGCGTTCCTTGATGCAGGGGACCTCCCGGCGGCATTCACAGTCCGGGGAGGGCTGGTGGGTTGTGGTCTGGCCTGCTCGGCAGCAGGCCCAGGAGTGAGCTGTGGAGTTGGGGACACGGTGAGAAAGAAGCGAGGGGCCCGCTCCAGACTGGCAGGTTCTCAGACAGCCCCCACCGCGCCCACACAGGAACTTTCGTGGCTGTA